ACAAAATCCAAACAAAATTTGTCTTTACAAAAATTTTATTTGACTTTGTTACCTGATTTATAACATAAACAATGGGGGAAACCATCTGATTATTATCCTAAAAAAGTAAACAAAGACAGGGCACCAGTGGCTCAACCACCTATAACCTTAACTACTCAGAAGACAGAACTCAGGAGGTCATTGTTAGAAGAAGCCAGCCAGGAGCAAATAGTTCTCAAGACCCTATCTCAAAAAAAAAACAAAAAAAAAAACCCATCACAAAAAGGTCTGGTAGAACTGTCAAGGTGTAGGCCCTAAAGTTCAACCCTCGTACTTGAAAATAAATAAATAAATAAACAAAGGAATTCCCGATATAAAGACAACAAATTTTCCTTCTGAGGAAAATGATGCTGCTACTTAAAGTACCATGCAATATTTAAAGACAGAAATTGGCTAGGATGTAGTTCAATGACAGAATACCTTGTCTAAGATGTACAACAAAGCCCTGGGCTCAATTCTTGCACCACAAAAAGAAAGAAAAAGAACTAGCTAAAGAGAAATTCAAGTATATTAATACTATAAAAGCATCATCAAAGCGGATGCCTGGTGTCTCATACTTGTATCCTAGCTACTTGGGAGGCTGAGATTAGGAGGATCAATCTGAGGCCAGCCCAGACAAATAGTTCATGGGATTCCCATAACAAAATAACCAGACCCAAAATGGACTGAAGGTATGCTCAAGCAGTAGAGTGCCTGCTTTGTAAGCACAAAAATCCTGAATTCAAACCCTAGCCCACAAAAAAAAAAAATCAAAAATAGTAATAACTGACAAAGGTAAAAACTCATTAATGATCTTAAGAATTCACCCTACTCATTTTCAGTCTATGAAATAGTATATATAACTAATGTGAGTAATTAATCTTTTAAACTTATTTCATTTGATTCTCACAGCACCCTGGGAACTAGATTAAGGCAAAGATTAACAACAATCTGTATTCAGAAAAGTGACCACTTAAAAATCACATTAATTAGCAATAGGTAGTTGCTTACCCTGATGAAACCCATTAATGAGTTATTAATTTTAATCCTTCCCATTACATTGAAAGCATTAATGAAGATGTTTTGTGGGAAAGCACACCATCTTACTCCTGGCATACACACCAAGTATTTTGATGTAAAGTCTGGCTACATTCATACAAATCAAACAGAGATACGTGTTAATTCCACTGTACTTGACTCCATAGCTCTTTCAAAAAGAGTACTAGTTTGGGCTCTAACCTCACAACAAGGTAGATCTTCAATGTTGAAAAGAAGTAGAATAAGCATAATCATAGTCTTTCCCTTCTCTAACGGCTGATGAAAACAAAAAGTAGTATCAGCAGTCCCTACTATTTTCCTAATATCATAAAAACACCTGCCTAAGGTATATTTAGACTACCTGATTTCAGGTTCTTCTAAGTTTTATCTCTGAATCAATTAGAGCATTTTAGCTTTTTCCAAGGGCCAATATAACTGTCACATAAAGAGTCTATCAAGACAAATGAATTAAGATGGTAAAGCAAAGCATGAACACAGAATCTCTCTCCCTGATTCTAATACAATGGTCAAAGTGTTTGTTTGCTTGGTATTTTTGGTTTTTGTTGTTACTGTACTTATCTCCAGTTCAGGAACAGTGGAACTACACCATACCTATGTCTGATTTGTTTGAATGTACTAGACTTTACCATCAAAACACTCAGGGTCTTCCTAAGAGTACTGGGGTTACAAGCATGTGCCTCAAATTTACCACCAGAAACCAAGAAAGAAAGAGAAATCTATGCTAATAACTTGAGGGAAATCAAGATTCTAACAACTACAAATTGTGTAGTATGGTCCTGCTCTTAACCAATCTCGAGAAATATTATTGAGCAAGGAAGGTGAATAAATAAAATCCTTTGAGTAACATGGCCTGCAAGGAAAAACTTTTGTGAATCAAAGTCCAGCAGAGTTCTGGCACACAGAGAACCAGCTACTAAGGCTTAGTATCTTTCAAAGGCACTGTGAAGGAGTCAAAGCCCAAGGAGCTGGGTACTCACTTGGCTGGGTATGCACAAGGAGAGACACAAGGATCTCTGAGGAGAAAGTAGAACTTAATTCCACTATATGAGGACTATACTCAGCCTCAATCGAGCTCAATCATTCCCCTATCCTAGACTACACTAAGGTTGAAAACAAAACTCAGCACTCAAACTGTAAGCTTAGGGGTAAAGGAGAACTGATCATAAATAAGATGGGAAGGGTATGAAGATTCACTCACACTTTATTAGAAAGAGTAGATGGTCTGAACAGAGTTGCCCACATTAGGAGGAAAAGAAATGCTGTAGCAATGATGGAACAGGAAGGAAGGAGGGAGGGAGGGAGAAAAGGAGGAATAGAGGACAAATGAACTTAGCCTAGAAGAAAGTACAACACAAAAGACCAGTCTTTTGTAGATTCTCTACAAGTATCTATGTATAGTCACAAAAATGGTATTAACCAGATTGCACAGACAGTATCTTACAGAACTGTGATTTCAATCTATGCATTCTGGCTTCAGATCTGGCCAAGGTCAAAATTACTGCGTTGTTCTATTGCCTATAAAAATGTATTGTGTCTGAAATTGAATATATAATAGGTCTTCCAAATTTTGCAATTCTAGAAATACCCTGATATTTTAAATTGTACATATATCAGTGCTTTATTATTTTGTTTATGCAATTTCCTCTTTTCTCTATTAATTTCATTTCCAAGATTTTCTTCTTCTATTGAATTCTTAATACCTTTTTTGTGACTACATATTGAAACTACCCAACATAACACAGGGCTAGCAAAGTGATTCAAGTGGTAGAGCACCTGCCTAGCAAGCATGAGGCCCTGAGTTCAAACCCCAGTGCCAGCAAAAAAAAAAAAATTAAAAGCATAAGAGACACCACAACAAACTCCCTAAAATGACTAAAATTTAAGAGGGTTACAGTATCAAGTATTGGTAAGCATACTGACCAATTTGAAGTCCCCGAGACTCAGTCTCAGGAATGAAAAATGACAGACACTTTGGAACATTCTGGCAATTTCTTACAGCTAAATATATCTGGCCCAGCAATCCCACTGCTAGGAATCCAAAAACATATGCCACCCAAAGACTTGTGCAAGATATTCAAAGCAGCTTTATTTATAATAGCCCCAAATAGAAATAACCTAGTGCCCATTAAGTGGCAGTGAATGGATAAACTCTGATGTGCCTACATAATGAAATATTAAGCAAAGCAATCTACTGACAGCTCCAACAACTTGGATGAATCTCAAAAGCATTAAGTGGAAGAAATCAGAGTACATATAATTCTATTTATATGAAATTCTAGAAAAGTGAAAGAAACTCTATCAGAGGTTGCCAGTAACTGGCAATATAGAGAGGAAAGTGACTGCAAGGGGGCAAAAGGGAAGGTTCTGTGTGATAAAAATAGTCTATTGATTGCCAGTGATGATTGTGGTGGTGGGCATAAACTATATTTTTTGTCAAAACTCATCAAATTATATAATTAAGATTGGAGAAGTTTAATGTATGCAAATTATACCTCAATGCTTACTTTAAAAACAAACAAAAACAGCATGTGGTTATGCTTGGGGTGATGATTTGAAGGGAGTACAAAGGAGACTTTGAGTCGCTGCTACTATTCTATTTCTTGATTGGGTAGTAGATACATGATGTTTACTTTCAGAATGGTCACTGAGCTATACAATTATGATTTATATATTTCTCTACATATGTTTTATTTCAATGAAAAGTTTACTTATGAAGAAAATAACAGGCTGGGCAATGATGGCTCATGCCTGTAATCCTAGCTACTCAGGAGGCAGTGATCAGGAGGATCATGGTTCAAAACCAGACCAGGCAAATAGTTCATATAACTATTTTTTTCCCTTAGGAAAAAAAAATGACAAAAAAAGGACAGGCAGAGTGACTATACTAGTAAGAGCACCTGCCCTGAGTTCAAACCCCAGTGCCACCCAAACAACAACAACAAAAAAAAAACAAAAAGAAGAAAATTAACAGGCTGGTAGTGTGGCTCAGAGGTAGAGCACATATTTAGCATGCATGAAACCCAAGTTCAATACTTAACACCCAAAAACTAAAACACTGGGTCTTCAACAGTCTGAGATTGAAAACTGTTAAATAAATAACAGTAACACTTCAAAACTGCAGCCACAAAAATGAGTAGCAGATAAGCTGTGGAAAATAATACAAAGTAATCCCTCTTCATAAGGGAATTCAAAAGGCAGTCACTTGACCAAAGATTTTCCTGTGGCTGGAATGTGAATAGTAATCTATGTACACTTGTGATTTAAAGTACAAATACAGGGCTGAGGGGAGGGTCATCTGCCTAGCAAGTGCAAAGTACTGAGTTCAAAACCCAGTACCACCAGAAAACAATTTTTAACTAAGATACAAAGCTATTGTTAAGACACAATGGACTTCCCACAAACCTTACTGAATGTAACCTATCTTGAATTAGATTGACTTTATTTTTTTGTTCTTCAAAAATGTTCATAAGTACAAATATACTCAGAACATTTTCAGTTCAAAATCTAGTTTTTGACTAGGAAGAAAAATTTTACTAACCTCTTTCATAAATGACTTGCCTATTCGCACCACTTTTGCAAATAAAATGGGATCATGGGAAAGGTGAGGACCAAGGTAACAGAACATATTAAATACATCTCTCCTCAAGTCTTCAAAGCTCTCTGCTTGCTTTGGTGCTCTCTTGTTTTGCAAAGCATTAACAGGTGAGCCTTTAGCACCTTTAGGAACGCCAACTCTACAAAAAGAGGTAAAAATTATAAATATACACACAAATGCAACAAAATACCTACCATTTTAAGTTAACATAATCATCTTAATCAGTAAGTGAATATTTTCTTGTTCATATTCCTTTCTATATTTTAATCATGCCTACTTTTATTATATCAAGTGATTTTCAACTGATGGAAAAACAAAAACAATATTCAATAGGAATAAAATCAGAGCTCAGAGGAAACTGTTTTTGAATCAAGCAAGGAAAACTAGAGAAATGCAGATCTTAACTAACATTTAACATACATCATATGAATATAAGTTAAACTTGGCCTGTATCAAGAATTTGGATATGGGAATGTGGAACAAGGGATGGACCTCAGATATACTGGAAGATGATTCAAGTCAATAAAACATTTTTCAGTATGGATTTTGCTGTCATCACTAATAAACAGAAAATCCAGATTCTTATATCCCACATGGATGCATCCAGGCAGAATATAGAGATGTAGCAAGGGTGATAATAAAAGTTTATCAAAAGTTAGGTGGGAAAATGTTTAAAAGGCCATGTTGGGGCCAGGTAGAAGCTGGAAGCAGAAGGAGCATCTTCCTATTTCCATGTGTTTTTAAAACCTATGCTAACCTATGGGAAGGAAAGAACCTGTTGATTTCCAATCACCAAAAATCAATGAGTGGAGAGAGGCATAGGTGGTCCCTAGCCTGAGGCCCAAGGGTGGTTTGAGTTGTCTCAGTGCCAGGGTATGAATAACCTACACACATATGAAAGAGAACAATGTTCAATCTCAAATACAACATTAAGTCATATATGTTTTAAGAGTCCCGAACTCTATCTTAGCCTGCCTCACACTGAGTACGTGGGAAATGTTAGTAATAAGGAAGGTGAACCACATCATACTAAAAAGGAGAGCACGTCCAGAGTTCTCACATGCTGATCAGGTATCCTGCTATGGAATCACAAGGGTTATTCTCTGTGAAGAAGCCTTCACAGTTCATAGCACAAGTGGCACTGAAGGCAGCAGCCAGTAGCTATGCATAAGTCACAAGGCTGATACTTTAGAAGCAGGCTCTCATCTGTGTGGCTGAAGCTATAGCTGCTACAAATTCTGCTAAGTACCCAGCAGGTAGGCTGAGAGCTAGAGGACTACCCCTCACAGTATGGATGATGAGAGAGGCTATACTAGTAACTTCTTGAATAGCAGTCTATATGCCAAGAAATAAGGCAAGCAGAGTACCAATCTCCTCATGAAGAGTCACTTAACACAAGGTAGAGGAAACATTCACCAGACAAAATCCTAAGGAATTCTCTGCCTCCCAAGAGAAGAGGAAAAATCAAAAACAGAAGAATAGGGAGGATCGAAGATGGCAAATAGGGTACAGAAGCAGACAAC